CCATGTTAAAATCAGTTCTCTGCTCAGTAACCTTTGATGGTTGTCTGACTCGTCATCCACGAAACCGAGTGACTTGTACATATTCGACGCCAAGTATCGAATATAGGCTTTAAGTGGATCGTAAGCCAGATGTCCATCGGATCGTTGAAGCAGATAACTAATTCCATTGAAGAACGCTTTCCACGGCAGGTATTCTTTTTCGCTTTTCAGATAGGTCACGTATTCGAATACTTCCCAATATGAGATACATATCACATGGTTACAACCCGCACGAGCCAAATTCAAAGAGTCGTCGACGATTTGGGCGCGGTTTGTCACATGGATGCCACCGTAATTTATTGTGCTTAGCGCCTTGATTAGCCTCTTCCGTAATTCATAACTGTATTGAACGCGATAAAAGCCGCTTTGCTGAACGTTCACGAGTACCCAGTCCTCAGATTCGTCCAGATAAATGGTCTTGGATTGCGGTCCAAGCCAAATATTTGTCCATGTTGTTGTAAAGTCAGGTTTAGAAGAAGTCGCTACGGTGATCGGGATCCAGTAGTAGTCGGTTGTGATGAGTCTATTATGGAAGGAGAATATGTTCTGAAACAAAGAAACGAGAACCGCCTGTTATAACCAATATAGAAATTGTTTTGTGCGCCGATAACTACTACAAATCAAAGTTATTATATTTCGATTATTTCTAACCGTTACAGGGAAGGGAAGTTTGTTGATGTCGCTTATAACAATTATCTACGAGAGAAATTATATTTTAGATTAGTTGTTACACAGTAGGCATATAACCTATGTGAATAAAAACTTTTTAAAATTAAAAAAGTTATAAATTCCACAGAAATTATAATTAAACAAATGGAGTTAATTACTTTAGCCTGCCAATAAAAACTGCGACTAAAATAAATCATCTGGTAAGTGTTCAGTATTAGTCTGTTGGGGTTTGTAAACATGGAGTTTGCTTATCAAGTTACTAATTGTTATGTTAAGAATAAACTTTTTGCGACACAATTCAAATCAATTTTTTTATCAGGTTCAATATTTTGTTTAAGTAAATTAATTCTCTTTAATTACCTGCTGTATTTCTATTCTATTCGAAGATAGGGTTACGGTTACAACAGGGTATCCAGGTTTATTGGTCCAGTTGTCCATCAAGTTTTCCACAGTTCGCCAGTCCCCGGGTGTTCCC